CGCGGAAATAAGAAAGGCACCCCCCCTTCACCCCCTCGATCTGATCATCCACAGGGTGTCTGATTATGGTGCTCCCATCGCACTTCAGGACCACATCCCGGAAATAAGTTCGAGCACCCAGAGAAGTGTCAAAAAGGTGTCGAACGAGTATCGCCTCCCAGGGCCCGACACGTGAAAACCCTCCAGTGTCGGTACTTTCTTGGTGTTCTAAATTGCTTCTGGTGGTTAAGGCTAAAGTAGGCTGGAACATCATAAGTGCATGTGGGCTCAAGTTGCAACAAAAGGCGCGGGGGCCGATGGGGGGCGAAGTTCATGATCACCTCCAGAGTCTGGGACGTCGCTCTGATCTTCGTGTCATGCAAGGCGCCAGGAATGATCCTTACTAGGATTCTCGCAAGGATGCATCAACCGAAGATTTCATGACTACGATTTTCGATTTTCGCGAGAATCCTTTTTACGATTTTCGTCAGGAATAATCCTTATTACGATTTTCGCCAGTTGCCGAAGACTTCCTTGAGCTCAGGACTTGCGCCCACCACACTCCTTCAAGCAAGCTCCACGGGAAGGCTTCCCCAAATCAGCCTCTGGAGGTCATTGAAGACCCACCCAGACATCCTTTGACCGATACATCGAAGGAAAAATTACTAGCCCTCCAGAACCCCGAACTTTCTTATCCCCAGGGTGTGATTCTCACCGGCATGGGGAGAATCGTCTGTAATCCCTGTTGAATGCTTTGGAATTGCACAGGAATCCGCATAAATGCTTGAGGATTCCATGGGATTCCTTAGGAACCCCCAGAAATCCCTCAGGAATCCATTACAGATCATAAGAATCCTTAGGAAACCATCAGGAAGCGCTGAGGGATCCTTCAGCAATTCCAAACATCTGTCAGGAATTCCCTGTGGAAGATCCCTGTGAGAGCCGATGGGGAAGGAGTAAATTGCGAGAAAATGCTGTCGTTGTTGCGGTTGTTGTTGTTGTTGTTGTTATTGTTGTTGTTGCTATTGCTGCTGCTGCTGTTGTCGTTGGTGTTGTTGTCAGTGGTGTTGTTGTTGGCGCTGTTGCGCTATCATTTCTAAGGAATAACTATTGTTGGTCGCCCCTGCCCGGTAACCATTTTTTGTTTCAATTAGGGCGCTTCTCCTCCCGGGGCTCGCACCCTGTGCTTTACAACAGAAAACGAGGTGCCCCAAAACTCTACCCCTTGCCCCCGGCTTACTACAGCAACAACGGCTCCCGCTTGATACTTCCTCACAATGTATTCCGAAATCGCGCTCTCGCGCGGGACTTCTTTACACTCTATGCAGGGATCGCGCTCTCACGTGGGACTCCCTCACAATTTACTCAGAAGCCGCGCCCTCGACACTCAGGAATCATGACATCGCTGTGGATTTCAGTTCGATATACTTGGGGATCGCCCTATCCCTCGAGATTCCCCAACGATTCATGTTGGACGAACGCTTCAGAAACCCGCCTGCGTTTCGCTTCTTCCTTCCATGCGTCCTTTCTTTCCCCGACTTAGGGGCTGCACGTGATACGCGTTGCAGGGCAAAAAGAAATACCCCTAAGGGAGTATGGTCGAAAACGAAGAAGGCGGGTATCGAGGGCTTGGGACACACGTGTAAAATAATGGCACGCGAGCAAGTAAGAGTAAATACTATTCAAATGATTGGTGTTGTTGAGCTCTCACTTCTGAAGAATGATTATTGTTGATCCCCCTTCTCCAGTAACCATTTGATTCTTGAAATTGAAACGCCTTTCCCACGGCTCGCACCCTGATTTTTTTGCTCCCGGGAATTATGGTGTCACCAAACCATGTTCTTGGTCCCCCATTTACAAAAACAGCGGCTCCCGCCTGACACTTCCTCACAATTCATTCCGAAATCGCGCTCTCGCGCGGGAATTCCTCACAATGTATGCAAGAATCGCGCTCTCGCGCGGACCTTCTTACAATGTACTCACACGCCGCACCCTCGACACTCAGGAATCACGCTCTCGCTGTAAGTTTTCTCATGATGTACATGGGAATCGCACTATCGCTCGAGATCTACTCGCGATTCATACAAGACTCACGCTCCAGCAACCCGCCTGTTCGACCTTGCCGCCCGGGCCCGCCTTGCCGACGCGCCCGCTAGGATCTGCCCACCCGATGTGCCTCTCTGGTTATACCACGTGGTTTCTGCTCATAGCCCCCCTCCTGCTAAATTGCTCTCGTGCTCCATCCTTTTCCACCCCCCTGTCCATCCGCCCTTTCTTCCCCCGTTTTACGGGCTCCCAGAAAACTCACGTGGCGGGTAAGGAAGATATACCCACCAAGGGGGTACGTACGATCGAAGACGAAGGGAAGGGGATATAGCTGTCGAGTGGCACGCGAGCGGGTGAGAGCGAGCAGTATCAACATGGTTAGTGGTGTTGTTGTTGTTGTTGTTGTTCTTAGTACTGTTGTTGCTGTTGAGTTCTCATGTACGAAAAATGATTAGTATTGATGGCCCTCCGCGACACTTGCACTTTTCAATTCGTGTGCTCCTCCAGGGACTCGCACCCTATTGTTTGCTAC